AAAAAAAAAAGAATGAATCTTAGACATATGTTGAGTGAAAGAAATTTTATATATATGAGGACATCTTACATGATTTTTTTTGTACATAAACTTTTACAATAGGAAAAACTAATTGTTAGAAATAAAATCTGAATAGTGGTTGTCTCTGAGGTGAGTAGGCAATAGGCAAAAATATGAGGTAACTTGGGGCTGGAGAGATGCTTCAGAGGTTAAGAACACTGACTGCTCTCTCAGAGGTCCTGGGTTTGATTCCCAGCACCCACAGGGAGGCTCACAACTGTTTGTTAATGCCAACTAATTCCCAGGCAGCCATGCTCTCTTCTAGCTTCGGCAGGCACCAAGCATGCAAGTGGTGCACATTCAGGCAAAATATGTGCATAAAATTAAAAAAAATTATGGCTGGGCGGTGGTGAGGCCGCTTTTAATCCCAGCACTCAGGAGGCAGAGGCAGGTGGATCTCTGTGAGTTTGAGGCCAGCCTGGTCTACAGAGTGAGTTCTAGGATAGCCAGGGCTACACAGAGAAGCCTCATCTCAAACAAACAAGTAAACAAACAAACAAACAAACAAGAGGGATTTGGGTTAAAGGGTTTTTATGTTTTGATAGTGGTTTGGATTACAAGGGGTGTGACATTTAGGTAAGCTAAGAGAACTGTGACCTAAAACTCTTACATTTGTAAGATCTTATTTGGTAACCATTTGTGCATCTCAGTGTATGTAAATTTTACTTAAAATAGTAAGGCCATATTGTATCTAGTTAGTGATGGTATTAGCACTTTTCCTGTTGACATATGCGATGAACTATAGGAGTGAGATGTCCTGATGCTCTCTTTGTGGTTGGAAATGCATGCACAAGTATGATGGACTGCTGGTGTAATGCATAGGTAGATAGACGAATGTCTGATAAAGCCAATGTAGAAAAAAATTAATGATTGCCTAGGGTAGATTGGAATTTTTGTTTTTGTTTTTTTGAGAAGGGTTTCTCTTTGTAGCTCTGGCTGCCCTAGAACTCACTCTGTAGACCAGGTGGGCCTCGAACTCACAGAAATCTGCCTGCCTCTGCCTCCTGAGTGCTGGGACTATGTTCCACTACCACCCAGAGAAATAATTTATATGTATTGGTGTTTTGCCTACATGCATGTCTGTGTACCACGTGCATGTCTGTGCTTGTAGAGGCCTGAAGATGGGGTCTGATCCTGAGATGTCCTTTCAAAGAACATGTTGTTTGGAATCATTCCCAATTCCTAGCAGAAGTTGAGATGCTTAAGCTCTGTCTGTGGTCAAATAGAGGGACCTGGCAACCCCAGGAAGATCATATATCTAATACTAAGTGTGTGGGAACCATTTCTTCAGTTCTTTTTCCTGTTTGCTCCCCAGAAGCTAGTACCCCGGTCCCTCTACTTCCTGAGTTTGGAGGCCTTTTCTGTGAGTGACCTGACCAAGCAGTGAAATCTAATGGAACTGATGATGTGGGATTCTCAGTAAACGACACAGATTATCTTCTTGTAAAGACCAGAGTTCTTAGCTGTCGCTCACAAGATCATAATCTAGGTGGTGGGCATATTGGTGTATAAAATAGGCTTGGAGTTTCTTTACTGTTATTTGAGTAGGTAACCAAGAATCATCAGATATTTGAGAAAGACCTTTAAATGGAGAGAGAAAAAAATCAACTTGGAAGAAATATATTTCTGTGGGGAAGTGAAAATTTACAACAATGTTGATGTTCTTAAAGTAGAAAGAAAATATATTCCATAAAGGAGCTACAAAAAATAAGGGAAAAAGCTTAGAAATTAAAAAAAGAAGTAAAAACAAAAATATTAATAGAATTATTAGAGATGAAAATGAAAGAAATTTCCAGCAATTAATGTGCAGAAGATGGAGTGGAAAATAGAGAAGAGCTGAGAAAATTTGAGGACAATCCAAATAATAGATCATAGAGATGGTGGAAGAAGAGGAAGCAGGTTGATGTTTCTGAAGGTCACACCTGCTGACTAAGGAACGTGAACTGAATACAGCGGTGAACTCCACCGAGGAAAGCCCAGGAAGTCGGGTAAAGTTTCAAAAGGATAAGGAGATTCTAAAGCTTCGGAAGATGTAAGGGCAGAGTAGGCTGACTGCAGAGGGCCACCATCAGACTCCTTGCCTAGAACATTGCCGCTCTCAGGGAAGATGTCAGGGAATGCTTCTACATACTTATTTTACAGTTTTGAATTTTGCATCTTTTGTATGATCCATACAAAACAAAAAGAAATAGAATTTTAAAACTAGTGCTACTGATATAATCAACATTTTGTTTGTTTAACCCGTATGTTTATGCGTACTTCATTTGTGTCTCTTCTAAAACTTGAGGAGGAGGTGTTTTCGTTCCTACTGTGGTCAGGGAATCGGAGAGATTTGATCAGGAGTTAGTTGGTAAAGCCAGACTTGGAAACCATTCCCTGCTTTCCTAGACGCTTAAACAGCAGTGGTAGTGAGGTGTTGCTCACTGCAAGCATAAGAATAGGGCCTGAGGTGAGTGGTGCCTCTGTGGTGGGGGCGGGGGTAGGACGGCTCCGAGGCTGCAGCATTGTTACATTGACTTTCTTATTGCTAAGGTGTGTTCATATTAGCATTTTTTCTGATAATGAAACATCAAAAACTATAATCTTGAGTCAAAAGTTTGAGTTTTCTTAAAACAAAAAGAAACATTATTATTATAGAGAAGTGTGTGTGTGTGTGTGTGTGTGTGTGTGTGTGTGTGTGTGTGTGTATGTGTGTGTGTGACTGTGTATGTGAGTTATGGGGTATGTATGTGAGTTATGGGGTACATGGGGAGGTCAGAGGATAGATAACCTTTCCAAAGTTTTTTCTTTTGGTCCATTGTAG